GGTGGTCTTGGGGACTCCGGGCACCTCCTTGTTTGCCAGCTGAGAGGAGATCTGGATGCCGTACAGGTTGGACATGCGGACCACATCAGCGGCGGCATCGACAGCACCTTCTCCGGGTTTCCGACACAGCTGGTAGGCGTGGAGGAACTTGATGCCATCCTGCAGCCGACTCTGGTCCACTGGCTGTTTGGGACACATGCCGGTGTACATGATGTGCAGCAGGTAGCTGAAGACGTCCGGCTGAATGTCGGTGGGCTGAATCTTTATACACTCACTGAGGACACACAGAGACAGGAGACAGGAAGGCCGACACGTCACGGGCAGTCTGACCTCTGATTCAAGTGTATGTTCAGACTTTGCACTGACACACAGGTGCAAACTTCAGACCGACTTCAACCCCCTGTTCATGTTATTTTGTCCACCCTCACCGACCTGGACTGGTGGATGAAGATCATCTTGAAGTAGTTGGAGAAGGCGGCCAGCACGGCTCGGTGAGCTTTGAAGTAGACATTTCCAATGGCGACCGTACAGTCGCACAGGAAGCCGAACTCTCTCTGAATGTTGAGCTGCTGCAGCAGGAAGAGGCTGTGGGACGACACCTCCATGACCCCGTCCGCCGGAGACGTAGACACACGTAGCGCTGATCGGGAGAGAGATCAGGGACAGCAGTCACTCACTGATTATTAATTAACTGCAGCTGATAACTAAATGGATTACAACTATGTAATCAAACAAATCAGACGCTGTCAGAAAACGTGCTGCAGTGGACGACAGCGGAGGTCAGCGCAGACCAACCAGGGTCCGGACTCACACACATCCACTGGTGCTGCTGGTCTCTGGACGAGTGTTGTGCACAGTAACACAAACGGAGAAACACAAAGGTTGAGTCCAGACTTATGTTTTTAAAGCTGAGACCAGCAGGTGACGTCACGTTGCAGAACAGTTCTGAACACACACGTCCAGATGTAAACATCTGGTAACTATATTCTTCTTCTTTTTCAGAGCAACAGTCAGAAACCAGCTGAACTGTTGCCAGTTCATTTTCTGTCAATAAACTGATCAGCTAATCAATACAGCTGGTTTCTGGACCCCGCTGGACTTGATCAGGGCCCCTGAGGACAGGAAGCTCTGACTCTGCACCAGGGCAGTTAAAGCTGGTCCTTTATCAGCTCCTGGTTCATGTTCAGGCGGAACAACCAGCAACAGAACACCTGGACAGGTGAGCAGGACGCAGCATGACCTGTCACCTCAGTGAAGGTCACCTGCAAGTGAAGCTGCACCTGACGCACACGCACGCACACAGAGGGGAAGGAGGCTCCGGTGTGTTCAGGTAAGAACTCCGATCTAAGCACACCGGAAACCGGACACTCGCGTGGCCAAACAACACCACGGCTCCGCGCGTGCACCTGGTGTCGCGCCCGTAAGGCTGCATCCTCCTCCATCATCTGTCTCATTCACATTCAGCAGCACGCACGTCCTCATTCGCCCACACGCACATAGGCGCGTGCACACGCCACTCTACCCCGCACACCCGCTCTGTGTGTATGTGTGTCGTGCACGCGCGCCATGCCCGCGGCCGTTTATCAGACTCTTACCGCAGAAATGTGCAGATTGTCTCAGGATCCGGAGCCGATTTGTTGCTGCAGAGATGATCTCGCAAAAAGCAGCGTCACATCTCGCGAGAGGAAGGGTCAAAGGGGCTGGTCACGTGATGTGTGACCTGCCAACATGCAATTAATGATCAGTAACGGAATTATCGACTCATTTTAAATCATATAAGTACAGAAAACAAAATAATAGTCAGGCTACTGAAAACTTGGTTCTGGGCAAAATAAAGAAAATCTAATGACGGACAAATATTTAAAATGATTTTTAGAAAGATAATAGTAATAATGCAATTTACAGAAGCATCTGGTCAATTTGTTTTTCAAAAAAGAAACACTAGATTATAACAGATTAGAATATTATAATGCAGCTGATAATATTACATTATAAATTATACGTAATACATTCTGCAGAAACTAAAGTTAAACTAAAATGCTACTGTGTAAAATAAAAGCCCTGTATAAAGTGTTCACTACCCACAGTCCCTATAAGTTGATTTGTTTCTTATATCCACACAAGGCAAATGTATAATCGACTTTTTTATAGTGCGTTATTCTCTCCTGTAGGAAGATTACGAAGAAACTGGGTTATGGGGACGAGTCTTCATCATCTGCAGCTCATAGTGCCAATTAAAAAGTGATTAAAGAAGTAGGGCAGTAAACCCTTCTCCGTTTACCATGATATTTGTACATTCATGATACTGTTCACTGTTACAGGCGTCGTTTACCATGTCTCATCTGTCAGTGTGACAGTATCATGTCAGATTATCTACTCGGTCTTTTTGCACCGATTTGTTCGATCTTAACCGAGCGGTCGATTTATAGATTGAATAATTAGTTTCCGAAAAAAGTTTTAGAAATGATGAGAAAATGTTTCTGTGAAAACGAGCAGATATGATTTTGTCACGCTGCCTCTGATACGCTGCTGCTCATCTGGATGAAAACGGGACAAGACATTTAACAAAGCATTTCTCATTACATGGGCCTGCTGATCTGTATGTCACGGTCCATAATAAATTATAGCTTTTTATGTTTCTGTTCCTAAGATGATGACAAAAGCTAAAAACAAACAAACAAAGGAGTCGTCTTTGCACACCTATAAGACGACAGGTGTATCGGAGAAGAGAAAGTTGAGTTGAGTGAAATGAAACTGAGTGAATCCTCTAGTCTGAGTCTCGTTTTCGGTTCCTGAAAACCAGCTCAAAGTAAAACCTCTTCACTGGAAACTCCTCTTTGATCAAGCCAGTTGGCACGCGGCCTCCACTCACCCAGTCAAGTTAGACAGAGGACAATACGTAACACTTCCGGTTACAATTCCAACAATAATAGTCGTATTTGCATAAATTCAAATGTAGTAAAATGAACCACTTTAAACACTTCCTTCACAATTGTACTTTCATTTTATACTGAATGTAACAAAGGAATCGATAGTTTAGATTTGTGATTTCAAAGCAAATCACATGATGGAAAAGACCTCTGACCTTAATCAGCACAAATACAAGGATCAATTATTTTCTCTGAGCACAAAACAAAATGTAAATTGAAATAGAATCACACTCTATCATGTCTTTGAAAATCCCCAGTTTATTGCTTTCCTGTTTTGTTGCTTATTTTGTGGAGGTGCAGTATGAAAAGATTTTATATGTAGATATTTATGCATGCACTATTATCTATAGCAAATAATATAATTCAATCCTTCATATGATTTATTTACATAGCCTACTATATTGACAATACTGTCTTATAAACCATGAGTATTATGCATAAACACATACAGTATATCTTTCTTTCTTATATCTGCATTGTTTTGTTTGAAAACAAATAAAAATATGATTAAAACAGATAAATGAATAGTTAGATTAGTATAAAAATATACCCTAACCCTAAACATTTGAATAAATACAATAGAAATATTTACAACACAGACACAGACACAGACAAATGCAGTGCAACCAGTTACCCAGCAGTTTTAATTTTTTACATAATGATAAAAAATGAGCTTGAGGAAAAATCTGAGGGCTTTGGCTTCTAGCTTCCGTTTTCTGTCTAAATATGATTTTTTTTAAAGCAAGTAAACAAATTATATTTCCACCATATCTATAAATATCTGAATATCTATGTTCAGACAACCAGGGGGTTCTACCAAAGAACTTAACACTGTTTCTTTAGTTCCACTTTAGTTTTATTTTCAAGGCCAGTATCTGACCGGAAGCTCTTTATCTCTTCTTCTGCTGATTTTTCACTGTGTCGCGCTTGACGGAGCGGCAGTCGGTGCGGAAGTCTTTTCATCCTGCAGGAGTAGAAGAAGAAGAGGCTTCTCCTTCGTCTCAACTTTCCGCCTGAACGCAACAAACCTCCGGACAGGAACCTTCCGGAGTCCTGGGGATATCCACACACGCGCCGCCGACTGCAACAGCTTCTCCGCTGTCCTCCGGTACCCACGGTGAGTCGTTGGGGCTGTGTCCGGCCTTTAGGGCCGCCTGGGTGGGAAAACATCCCCGCGGCCTGCTGCTGTCGGTGCTAGCTGAATGCGGGTGGTAGACAGTGCGGGGGTGGCGGGGCTGTTTGCGGGAGCGATATCATTGAATGCTAAGCCACAGCGCTGACATGTATTATGTCCGGTGTCGCTGTTCAAACTAAAACACGGTGACAAGGTCAAATGTTTAACGCACCTGGAAACGCTTCAGACTGTTCTACCCGGTTCTTTTACTGGACGGATCTGAGTAAGGAAGGAGTCTGTCTGATTGTAGTGGCTGGTTTATTTACATTTATATAAACCCAGATCCTAATACATGTATCAGTTTCTGGTCTAACCCCATAAACAGATGAAGTCCGTCCAACAGACTCCATGTCTTATCTAGAGCTCCACACACCTGGAGCAGCTGTGTGTTACCTAGTCATAACAACATGAGGTAGCTCCATGTGTGTGTGTGTTGTTACGTGATGTGTAACTAAACATTCTTACACAAGTTTAAAACAATTTGTTACGTGATGTGTAACTAAACATTCATACAGACATAATTCTTACACAAGTTTAAACCAAGTGGTGTCAAGGTTCCCTTCTCAGAGTCAACATTATCTTCTAACCTTGAAGCAGAGCAGACTTGGAATCTTACTAAACTGCTTTAATAACACATTAAAGTCTAATAATTATCTGACTAATTTATTAATTTCTAACAAGACGAACGTACACACCTTGTTTACTGTCTCACTTTCACACATCTAATGTCACGTTGTTGTATTTAAACGCTACACACAGCACAGTGTTACCAGTTTCATTACTTGGAGCCTTACTCGTTTTATTTTGGAGGTGAATCCGCTCTAAGCTCTGGGCTAACAGCTAACAGCAGCTAGCTTGACGAGCTAACCGCTGCAGAGTTGTAATCTCCATTTTAGCTCGTCCCCGTGGCCTCTGCCATGTCCGTGTCGACTCTGTTCACACTGACCCCTTGTCACGGCTGTTTGTCGGCTTCTTTTAGGGTTTGATAGCCTGTTAAATGCGTGAAAGGACCCCCGCATGCCCGCGGCGCCCCTGCGGGGGCGGACGATGTAAATGAGCCGCTGCAGCTCATTTACCATAAACCGACCCACTGTGGCTAGAAGAGCTAGTTTTATACATTAAAGGTGGTTTAAACGTTGTATTCTGTTCTTGTCTGTTAGTTGAATAATTAATCCACAGAAAATTGATTGGCAATCAGTAACGTGTGTTTTTAAGCAAAATTCCAATACTCACTTCCAGCTGCTGGACATTATTGGAATATTTCACAGCTGCACAATTTCTTATCTTATATTTGTCCTTTTTTTCTTAACCTGAAAACGTTGAGGTCGTGGAGTTTGCTTGGACAAACTTAACCTCAGGATGCAGGACAGACACCTAGCTGCTGTCTGTCTGTCTGTGAACAACCATTTCATCTTCTGCTCTCCGAGCTGTGTCAGTGCAGTTTAATGTTAAAACATTGACTCATCCACTACAGTTATTCAAACCAGAAGCTCCTGTTGTTTCCATCACAGTCTCCCTGTGGAGCCTCTGGGCAGTAGCTAACCACTCACCGACTCCTTCTCTTGATCAGTCCACGCCTTGTTTGCTCATCTCTCCGAAAACATCATAAAATGTTTTTTATTAATTTACCAGAGTCTGAAGTGAAATGTCTTATTTTGTTTCATATACAGTGATGATCATGTTTCTGTCATCCTTCCCCAACTGTCGACTGTTCATTCTGGTATTGAGTAATTCCCAGTTTGTGATGAGGATGATGATGATGAAGAATCCCAAGAGTTATCTGACCCTGGACCAGTTCCTGTCAGCAGGTGTGACAGACACGCCTGCATCATCAGGTTTCACAGGAAGCCGCTCAGGTGTCCTTGCACATGCTCTCTGACCACTTCATGCTAAATACGCGTTTGCTTACAGTAAACAGCTTCTGTTCTCAGATCAGCTGCCATTACACCTTTTCAGAAACTGACTCTGTCTGGGAGTTAAACTGTCAGGACTCGGCCCGGTTCTGGTATTTTCATTAAAAAATCAGTGGCCTAACTATCCAAGTCAATTGTCTGTGGATAAACTAGTGTTTTCAGTTGTATGTGCTTAAACTGTTGGATCATTTTACTTACAACATGTTTTATAAGTTTTCCACATGTTTTGAAAGTAAAAGCTGGAGCAGGAACATGGAGTCAGGAGCCATTGATCCAGTTGGTGTAACCGTGCACCTAACTAACTAATGCTGTCAAATGAATGTTGTGCAGGTTTAATGGTGGAATGTGGTGGAATAGGAAGTAGTGAGTACTCGAGGAAAGTACAAGTACCTCATGTTTGTACTTGCATGAGATGCAGTTGAGACACGTGTTGAAAGTCAGAATAGTTTGTCAGATGATGTCATCACTCAGGTGTTCGGGCATGTGACATCACCGTCAGATTAGTGTGGAGGCGGTCAGGCGTTCTCCCCCGAGTCCAAACAGGTCAGTGAACTGGAAACCACAAGAACCTGGTCGGGTCAGGTGGCGTCGCCTCAGGTCCAGCAATCAGATGCCGTGATGGTGGAAACCCTGACTTTAATAAAACCCAGGTTTTAATGTCGATCATCGGTCACAGTCCAGACTGGTCCGCTTCAGGTGGTGACTGTGCTGGTTCCAGTCCAGTGGGTCAGGTCAGCACTGCTGGTACAAACACGTAGAAGCGGTCACCAGCGACTGTACAGTCACTGTGCATGTTACCAGTTCACACCATCAAATCCGAGCAGCCGAGTGGTTTTGGTTCTGTGTCCCAGCTGACGCCGGGCTTCACCCCTCGCTCCATCACGTGTGCGGCCCCCACAGAGCTCCACAGCTCAGTGGTGGAAACAAAGTCTCTATAATGAGGTTAAAAACAAAATGAGGAGATCTGTGTCGGATGTTTGTCCTTCTGTGTAACATCTCAGTACACATTTACAGAACGGAGCTAAGGAGTAAAGCAGTAATGTATGTTTAAACTGATCCTGAGCAGCAGGTAAAAGCAACACAATGTGGACTGTTCCACCAAAAAGCTAAAATCAAGATAAACTCAGTTTATTAAAAGACAAATCCTGTGAATCTTGGCTGGGAGAAAATAGAAGTGTGAGCCAATGTTCTGCGTCCGACTAGCCTTTCTGACCTGTCAGATAGAGGAATCCCCTCAACTCTGAGTTATTTCTGTCCTCAAAGTAGATTTTCTTATTTCATGGTGGTACAGTTTTATGAATCAGGACCTAAATGACTGGAGTCAGGTCTGGTGCTGATGATGAGTCATATCAGGACTAAGAGCTGGTTTGGCCTCGCTGAGAGCAACCGGGCAAACGTTGTGATGTGCTTCTCTGTGGTCACCAGTGAAGGTCGCCCACAGAAATGCCTCAGCAGAAAGAATGTAGCAGGTTGATGACTGTTCCTCCTTCCTCTGCTGTCTGCAGGCGATGGCCAGGCTGAGCCACAGTGATCATGTCCTCCAGCAGCTCAACAACCAGCGGGAGTGGGGCTTCCTGTGCGACTGCCTCATCGCCATTGGTGACATCTACTTCAGGGCACACAAGGCCGTCCTGGCAGCCTGCAGCTCATACTTCAGGATGATGTTCATCCGGGACCAGCAGGGGGCGGGGAGACTGGACCTCAGCAACATGCAGATCAGCGCCGAGTGCTTCGACCTCATCCTGCAGCTCATGTATCTGGGACGCATCGTCGTGGGTAGCTATGAGTTTGAGGAGCTCAAGGCCTCCATGGCATACCTGCAGATGTACTATATCCCTGACTCACTGGAGGATCTCAGGGACATCAGGAGCTCCAACCTCACCCCGTCCTCCTCAGCCTCAGCCTCCTCTTCCTCGTCCAGTTCCTCCACCGGCTCTGCCAGAGGAAAGATGATGTTTGGAGTGCGCATGTATGAGCAGCAGAAGCCTGCTTCACCGGAAGCGGAGCGTTTGCCAAAGGCTGTCAACAGCAGCACCGGGTGTCCAGCTGTTCCAGCAGCTGTCACTAGGCCAGTGGTGGCAGAGGAGGTGGTGAACGGTCCTCTGATAGTGGCACCGCCAGTTGTGGATGGGCTGGTGGAGCAGCCATGTGACTTGAGAAAGAGGTCCAGTGGCAGGAGTTCAACTCTCAAAGACCGTCCCCGGTTCGGCCGCACCTACACCTGCGACGACTGTGGCTTTGTCTTCAGTTGCGAGAAGCTTTTAATCGAACACATCTTGACCTGCACCAACCGGAAGGCCTACCAACCGCCAAGAGGGAATGTTGAAGGTGACAATGAGTCCAGTAAAGCTGAGAGCTCTGCCTCTGAGAGCATAGAGGAACACAGGGCCATGTGTAAAGGCGAGGATGACTGGCCCGAGGCCAAGGGCGACTCAGACTTCACCATCAGGTTAGTGGCAACAGGGACAGACGGTGAGCCCGGGCCAACCAGAAGCATCTCCATCAAGACGGAACCGGAGGAAGGCATGTTTCCTGAGATCGAGGTGGTCCGGGTCGGTGAGCCCTGTACCAGAGACTGTAGCACACGGGTCAGTGATGCCAAGCGTAAGGACTTGCTGATGGAGAAAACTGTGTCCAGTCGTGAACCAGAGCCTAGTGTCTCAGGTCTGGAGAACAGTAGTGAGCCTTTTGAAGGCCACATGTCCAGTAGCGACGATTCAGGGATTCCAGCAAAGCTTCGTAAGGTCAAAGACGAGCAGCGGGACACCGACTGTACCCCCTGTGAACTGTGTGGTGCTGTGGTGATGGAGGAGGACAAGTCAGCCCACTACCTGTCCAACCACATGGGCCATATTTGTGCCTGTGGCCGGTGTGGCCAGGTGCTGATCAAAGGGCGGCAGCTCCAGGAGCACGCAGAGCGCTGTGGAGAATCCCGTGGTGGTGAGTCAGACTCCCACGGGGAGGATGAGGCGTCCCTGCTGGAGGAGCCGCAAGGGATGGAGGAGGGCCTGCTGGAGGCACCTGACCTGGGCTGCCCTCACTGTGGTCTGCTGTTCCAAAATGAAAGTCTGGCGCTGGAGCATGCCCTGTCCTGCCACGACCAGGAGCTGTTCCGACCAGTACTGCTGGAAGAAGGCGGTGAACCAGACCACCGCCGCAAACACTTCTGCAGCATCTGTGGCAAAGGCTTCTACCAGCGCTGCCACCTGCGGGAGCACTACACCGTCCACACCAAGGAGAAGCAGTTCACCTGCCAGACCTGTGGGAAGCAGTTCCTGCGGGAACGTCAGCTCAGGCTGCACACCGACATGCACAAAGGCATGGCACGGTACGTGTGCCCAGTTTGCGACCAGGGAACCTTCCTCAAACACGACCATGTCCGACACATGATCTCCCACCTGTCGGCCGGGGAAACCATCTGCCAGGTTTGTTTCCAGATCTTTCCCGGCGGAGAACAGCTGGAGAAACACATGGACGTCCACCTTTACATCTGCGGCGTCTGTGGAGAGAAGTTCCGCCTCCGTAAAGACATGAGGAGCCACTATAACTCCAAGCACACCAAGAGACTGTAGGAACCCGACCGGCCTCTGCTCTAGCTGACTGTTACAAAAGCCATAAATGTGAGAACAAATGTATGCACTTGAACACCAAAAAGACAGCTTTGTATCTGCACTTTTAAAGTATATGCATAACCTAAGCATGGACTGTGAGCAGCGGGGCTGGTGATTGGTCAGCCTGCAGCTGGTGGATACAACGCCAAAAGAACCCAGAATCAGGACTTTAGGAGACCATTGTCCGTGTTTGTCAGAAGCAGCTTATGTAGATGAAACGGTCCACCCTGGCTGTAGACTCGGCCTCAGGAGTTCCCCCCCCCCCATTGGGTTTTATGCAGAAATGGTGATAAATGATATTTGCATTTCAGACACAGACATCTGACAGGAACAGGTGCCCGTCTGTAGTTCCCAGAGTCTGCAGCCCAAAGACATCCTTGTTAGAGGAGCTGGGACCAGTTACCCAGTGGTTGATCTCCTGTCAACTAGCTAATCTGTGGCCCAGCAAATCATTTTAGCCAAAGTCCTGTTTCTGTCATGGGTGTTCCTTGACCAGTCTCTGGCCTGTGGAGAACTCTCCCATCATGCAGCTGACCGGTTCACCACAGAGTTGCTCACAGTGTGGTGTTGCTGTGCGACGGGCAGTCGGTTCTGACAGGAAGCAGCACAGCCGTGTCCTCGGAGCTCGCTGAGGTCACTGTTCACCGAGCAGTGGCCGCAGCGAGTGCAGGCACTGCGGTGGTGTGCGCTACCTGTCCTCCCTGTAACCTGGTGATCACAGCCCATGCTGTCCCTGTGAGAGACGCCGGGTGAGTTTGTGTTCAGAGCGATTGCCCGTCCAAGTGTCTGTCAGCATCTCGGATGGCTGCGGTGTCTCAGGCTTCGTTTTCCAGCCTTGATGTCAGCTTGTTTCCCAGAATACTAAAGTGTCCGACGAAATGCATTGAGTTTTCACGTTGCTGTTTTCAGCACAGTCAGTTTGATCAGCACATCTTCACTCACTGTGTCCCTCTGGCCCATGTGCTCCGTGGTCGGTGCCTTTACTGTAACGGTTGCATGCACTAGCTGCAGTGTGGCGTCTTGGACTTTCCTCACTATCCACCTCACAGTGCGGTGTGACGGGGGACGGACGGGCACAGTAATGACCCCCCTTCCAAAGTGAATCTGCACAGAGCAGGTTAAGAAAATGCAACACTAGAATGGTCTGCTGGTTGGAACCGACTCGGCACTGACCTGCCGGACGCTGTCGTTTTTTACACGTTTTGTTTTACACTTTGATTTAATCAAATGCCTTATGTCATGATGTTTTAGCTGCAGTTGTGCTTCTTTTAAAGCTGTGTCTCTACACGTGACCAGAACCAACCAAGCCATTAAAAGCCACCTTAAACAGGTATCGGCTCTCAATCGGTGCTGAACCAACCTGAACCTGGTGCAGAGTGAAATCACTTTACTACCTACCCACAACCCACTGACCTGGTTCAAACCCACTTGTCCAGTTCAGGCCTGACTGGAACCAGTTTGAAATCAGACCAGCTGTTCCCGTCCATCACTGGGCTGGACTCCAGTTGTCTGGTCTCTGGATAAACACGAGCCTTTGTTAAGCTCATAATAAACCAAGTGAGTTTCTGTTGGTGAAGTGACGCCTCTGAATGTTCCCTGCAGGTCCCACCTCTCAGTCGTGGGTTTGTTTCTAGTTACAATCTTTTAAACATCTGTGTTTGAGCTTCCTTCCTTTCAGGCAGCCTTTGGTTTCACTTCCTTGGAAATCTGTGTCTCAGCTAGCTGCAGCCTGTCTACACCTGAGCTGCGCTGCCCTGCCACAGTTACAATATTTGTAATGATTTCTACACATTAAAACTCTACCGTATGGATCAAATAAAGTTCTGTCACCAGAAGTGAGAGAAGAACCTCCCAGACGTCGTCTCTGACATACGACATGCTGGAATATATGTTTGGATATTTGTACTAATTACTCAAACAGTTAAAACTGTAACCAGACTCGGTTCAGGGTGAAGATCAGCACAAACTGCTGGCGGGACACTTTCTCACACCAGTATATGTCCAGGTTTATCTCTTTTATTTCATATTTTCATATTGTGTTTTTACTGCACGTGTCTCACAGTTGTAGTTACTAAAATATACAAAGTGGAGCTTGTGTTTAATTTATTTTGTATCATGGATCTGAGTAAAATATTGTTTGAGATTATTCAAAACAGTGACGCCCACTCAATTCATGTTAGTTTCCCAACTCCTGGTTTTAATTGTAGGGGGAAATGATCATCATCATCGTCATTATTGACAATGTTGTAATGACGTGCGACTGTTTCAGGTGAAGTCCCAGTTTGCAGTTCGGCGTTTGTCCACATGGAGGCGCTGCGGGACCACACAACGTGTTTCGTCATGTGTTCTGTTGCTGAAGTTTACAGGTGCCTGTGATAATGCAAGTGAGGCCCCGCCCACGTCTTGTCCAGACCACGTGACTGGACGCTACGTTAATAATTATACCACGTTACTGCTGGAAATCCTACGTACAGTATGTACCAGTTGTATCCTTATCGTAGTAGTACTGCTGCTCCGAGCATCACACCAGTGAAATGTACCAACTGCTCACTGGAACCACTTCTGCGCAATTTCCCGCAAGATTTCATCTGTAACGACGTGTTTGAGAAGCTTCTCACGGGTTTGGTTTGTAAGATCCTGACATTTGAACTAACCAGTAAGTGGAGCCGTGTTCAACGTGGTTGAAAACACATTGGACACTAGATGCCGTTTTTCTACTGTGATAGATGTGAATACGTGGCCTACTTGTTTTACTTTGTGCTGATGTGCACTTCACATTAGAAAACTCACAAACAGGGTTTTGCACATTCAACAGCACATGAACCATAAAGATCCAGTGACCAGTGCACTTGGTCTTTAAACTGCGCTTAAATTATGATATGAGCTTGGTCTTTAAACTGCGCTTAAATTATTATGATATGAACACAAGGATGTGTCAGTAATTATAATCCAGTAATGGGGAATTATTCCAAAGTCAATTCTTGGTTACAAGTAAAAGGAAACCACAGATGAACGTGCCTGCGCAGCGCCTTCACTGATGTGCGTCCTGGTGGATCATCTTCTTATGGGGCCAGCTGTTTTTTGCTGGCTGGTGGAATATAGTGCATCTTAAGTTCAGCTGTTTACTCGTGCACAGTTCGCGCCTTCTCAAGTTCTCTCTTTAGACTTGGAGCTGATCTGCATATTTCTGTGTGAAGCAGTGCGTGTGTGTGACGGTGTGCGTCAGTGTCGCAGCTGGTGAGCTCGGTCTTTGGGTCAAAGTCCCTAACATAGCAGACATTTTTGAATATTTGATGAATATTTTTAGAAGCTGGTCAGAAACATTTTTATAATTACCCTAAACTTTCTATGACTGATGATGTGAAATCACGCTCAGCCCAGTTTGTGTATTTAGCTGCTGAATCCTCAAACATCTCTAACGTGATGAAGTGAGACTCTAGTGGAGTATTGGAGCGTTGTCCTGGTTTTCATTGTACTAAACATTGTATTTGGCCCAAATGTGACCATGTTCTGTTTTTAATACAATAAGCAGCGTGGCCTGACAGGCTGTCATTTAGGCTTCCGTTGGAGTCCGGGGCGCAGGTCCAGCGTAGCTCCCACGTTCCTCATCACCTCGTCACCTTCAGCTCCTGTTTCGGGCGCCAGACCCTGTGCTACCCGTGTGCCTGTTGGACCCGGTGGCCGTTTGTTGCAGGTGACGCTTCTCTCCGACTCCCCGCAGCCCCCCAGGTAAGCTCCGCCCTGTATGTCACACCTGTTCATGACCTCAGTGCTTTGTAACATCCCCGCTCCACCTACAGCCAGTGGTAGAAGTGCTAAGATACCTCATTGTAAAAATACTTTGAGAAGATGCACAGAGTAGTATAAAGTGGAAATGTACCCAAGTACAGTACGTGTACTTTAAATTGTACTTGGATGTGGTGCTTCAGTAAAAGTAGATTCAAGCTTCCCCCCTGAGCAAACTGGGTGATTCTGGAAAACGTTTGCGAGGATGAAGAAAACAGGATACACAGTTAATTGTCAGTAATGTGACTAAACCGTCGTCTCTTCTTTCCTGACCTTTTTAAACAGGAAGTTTATATCCAGTGTTCCCGGGGGACACATTTACAGACCGAGCCCGACCCAACACGGACTGATGTTTAAATGTGAGGGCGGACGTGTCCCGAGAAGACGAGCTCTGCTGGGATCAGTCATCACGTCTGGATCCGAGAGAAACAAACCTGTTTCTAACGAAGACGACAGAAAAATCATTTCCGGTGAGCAACGGGACAGTTTGGAAAACAGGCCAAAAACCTAAGAAACCATTGAAAAGACCGTTTCTTAGCCTTTGGATGTTTTGTTCTAACAACACCAGAGCACAAAGTGGACATTTATTGTTGGAATGTTCCTTTAAACAGCCAGTGTTTGTATTGTTTTTTTAGAGGAACAAGTTGTATTTCTTTATTTTCTGTACAAGTTGAACCGGGAGTGACCAGTGTCTGGTCTGCAGGTCACTCACTGACCATGTTGGTGCTGACCAGTGTCTGGTCTGCAGGTCACTCCACACAAGTGGAAAAACTGACATACATGTTGTTAATAGAAACACGAGCCCAGTAAAGTCGCTCCATTTCTGTTGGCTAACTTCTAATTATGTCCCTGAGTAAAGTCACAGAACAGTAATAACATGACATAAAAATACGAATAATGACTTGACTGCACACGGAAGGTAAATGACAACATGACCAGTAAATAATCGGTGCTGTTGTTGGTAAACAAGCTGCAGTAGCCACATCACAAAGTTAATCAGCTCTTATAATTATACAGAATGGTTTTGTATTAATGTGGTTCTAGTAACTAAAGTTACGGAGTAAAAAGTACAATATTTGTTTCTAATGTAGTGCAGCCAAAGTATGAATTGACAGAAAATGAAAATACTCAAAGTGCAGATACCTCAGCTGTACGTAGTACTTGAGTAAATGTACTTAGTTACTTTCCAGCGCTGCTGCTGTTTACTTCTAGATTCAGTCAGTGTTGATCAGAGTTCTGGCCTCGTGACTATGACCAGGATCAGTGTCTCTATAAATCCTAGTAGACGTACTGGTACCGACCTCTGTATTCCTGTTTTAAGTATTATTTTCACAAGTATCACATTTGGTCTTCTTTTTTCCCAGAGCTCCAGAACTAGTATCAGTACTAATAATTGAAGTGGCCCGTGGTTCCTCTGTCCCGGTCCTGGTCTGGGTCAGTCCTGGTCCAGCTAGGGGCTTCCAGATGAGGCTGTAGTAAACAGCCAGGATGACGGCCACCAGAGAAACGGACAGCACATAGACCAGCACAGCGATCAGTCGCACCCATCTCTTGTTGGCTTTAGCCGCCAGTTTCGCTTTCTTCTTCCCGGTGTAGGTGGCCAGTTTACCCCTGTGTGCCGGCACAAATCCCGGGGTCCACTTCCTCGGGTCCCGCATGGTGCTCCTGGTCAGATCCTGTTGGATGTGGACTGTCCCAGGATGCAGGGAGAGGAGATGGAGCAGGGGGTCAGTCAGAGCCCATCAGAGTGTCTGCAGCTCGGCGGAGATCTGTCAGCTTCCCAGTCCCTCTGTAGTCCGCATCTGGGATCACAGCTGGACCCTGCACAGATTTATGTTCAGACCGAGCTGCGTCAAGCTCCAACACGGACAGGAAGCACTGGAGTGAGTCTTCAAAATAAAAGCCCAGGAACTATTTGAAGTTCTGATCTTTTCTCAGACTTCTCGTGTACCATTTGTGGCTGATTGTTACGAAGCTGCGTGAATGCAACTTCAACGCTGAACCTGAAAGTTGACACATATCATTTATTTGACCTGGTCAGATGCAGCTCAATCAGCTGTTTGTCACATCATGAACAAATACCATTTAAAGCAATAGAACCACCTGGAGCTGGGTCCACATTCCTCGTTAGGCCTGTGCTAGGTCCACTACAGAGAACGTGATGAAAATATAAGTTGTGCTACATACATTTTAAATTCTAGTTGTTTATATTTGTGTGTCTGTTCATTGCAGTGGCTTTTTAAAATATTCCTTTTCTTCATTATTAGTGCATATAACATTTAATTTCATGGTGAAGCTTTTTCTATTTTTCAAGTTTAATTTAAACATTTTCATCAGAAGATCAGTGTTG